CCACTCGAAAGGATCACCTACGTAGGGCCGTAATATCTGTCACCATGCCGCATTATCCTATGATAATTCAGTAAGTTCAGGATGGCGGCTTTTGAACGGTCGTCTTCTGACTAATTAACTAGTGCAATTTTTCACTGATGTTAGACGCCATTATGAATACAAATATATTCCATAGAAAACACGTACTGCAATATTCATTTATTATCCATTTGGTAGAAAATTACGTTTTCCACAACTTTTATACTTTAAGGAAGGATATAATTTGGTTTTAAAAACTTTTCCGATTCCCAATAGTTCTAATCTTTACCTGCCGTTACACTTGAATCCAGAGTTCCCAAACTACAAACGATGTATTTTCTGCATAGAAAATCGTATATTTCTATACGGTAATAAGAGGAGGCCATATGGAGTTCATGCAACTTGGCAGTGGCTTTGAATCGTATTGGAAATTTTACAAACACCATTGCTTAATGCAGAGACAAGATGTTTTATAAACGGGCATTTCAAGGTCTTCAAAATCTTATAATTATTATCTTTTTTGAAACCGAATTATACCCTTGTGTAAGTATGAAGTTTAAAGATAGCGTGAGATTCTACCAAATCTATACAAGGGTTAATTATTTTATGCATGTTTCTATACCTAAATAAATCTGAACAATACAGGACAAAATCATTGTAAGTCGTACGTTAACATCTGTTAAACCATTAATGTGAATTCCATGTTTTAAACTGTGGAACTAGGGTGCGCTGTCGCACACTTGTAGTGAAATTATACACCTAACACAAAGCTCCCTAAACAGACACGATGATATGCATTCCTGATACTACTCATTGAACTCACGTGATCAGATGGTGCGTCAGTCACCACAATGTGAGTGAGACATGATGACTCCCGTCCATCCACGAACACATCCCCTCTTGCTCTGCCCCCGGCACCGTCGGATTAAAAAAAGTTGAAAAAAAACTTGTGAAACACGTGGTTTTGGTACCTCTTCATCAGGCCAATACAGTTGCAGAGAAATTGGAAATATGAGAATTTCACAGGATTTATAAGTGACTCAGGGGCTCGTAACACTCATAGTTTCCACGCCAACAGCATGACGAGGTAAGAATGTTATGATCATTGGAGCAAGGGGGTGATATTGGTCGTGAATGATGTTTATAAACCGGGTTCTTTGAGCACACATCACTGCCATCAGGCGTGCGAAAACCATCGGGGGTCGGCGTTGGCTACGGAAGACAGAGCGCCTCTATCACCGTCTTCTGACGACACGGCACTGGGTTCGCCAGCCGTATAGCCGCAGCCTCAGCTGTAACCAGCACCCGCTGGTTAGTTGGCTCAATTTTTTTAAATTTAAAAGTCAATTTTACAAACACATGTTTTCGGTAACTCTTCATCAGGCCAAAAAGGTTACATAGAACTTTAAATTATGCGAAGTTACACGGCTTATAGGGGATTCAGGGACGTTAAACACCCATCGTTCCCACGCCAATCGCATGACGAGGCGTGCTATGGCGTGTTCGGCGTGTTGTGGCCATTGAATCAAGAGGGCGAGGGAGAGGAGTGACATAGGTAATGAGTAATGTTCGTACGTCGGGTGACAGTTCGACCATCGGTTTCGATGATGTCCACCGTGTGCCCCACAGTTGCAGCAACAATGGGAGCAGGGACGGCGACTTACGCAGGGATTTATAGTGCCGGTAGACTTGCGTAGCATCTACTTACACTCTCTTCTCCTCCTCCCTCGCCCGAACCCGGTGTCAAGACAGAGTCAAGAAGACCGGAGGCGAGAGAGGCCGCAGGTGGATGGCTCGATAGCATCCTCACCTTGGCGTCCCACCACACACCCTGGCCTACACAACAAATAACCAGGATTTCAACCAACACAAGAGAGATTTTGAGGCTAGCACGACCGAAGCCGCACTTAGGCGTGCCGCCAACGCCTGGCTCGGATCCCACACTGTGGTGGGAGTGCCATAAAGGCCACATTAAAAAGGAGCCATTGCAGCCTGACTCTCAGACCGCCTCCAGTCAAGGAGGAGGTCCAAGTTACCCCGTCAGTTGGCAACCTTCCAAGCCACGGCTTTTAGCGCACCGTGATAGGTTCAAGCGCGTCAGATTGATTATAGTGAGGAGAAAGTGCGCTGAGTCGTCGACCTCACTCTCCGTTCCCATCCCCACACCCCAGCCGCTGTCCGAGCCGGTCAGCAGACTGGAGGGGGGAATGGACGCGGTGGCTGTCATGGTCGACTGACCATGAGAGCGCGCGCCATGGCACGAACTGACCCCCCATACACACAACGCCAGGATTTCACACAACGAGGGTTGAACGGCTTGTTACTCACTTGCGTGAGATGGCCGTGGAAGGTGCTGTTTCAGTCCGTCCCCAACCCACCAGTCCACCACTCCACGCAACACACACACACACACACACACACACACACACACACACAACGCGACGAATTGCGTGAACCGAGAGCAGGCGTCAACCAGCAACCTTCCTATCCACGACGCTTGACATGTCGGGATAGTCTCGGACTCAATTCACCCGTGCAGCCGAAGCCTCATATGGACCGAGTCGAGATGCGGACTTCCCACTTGCGTGGGAGGTGGCAGTTGGGTGCATGAGGTGTGTGAGTGTTGATTTCTGGTGGGGTGATGGTGGTGGTGGAGGAGGTAGGGAGTGAGTGAATGTGTGGTATGGCCGGCGGTTGTCTACCGCAGGTCGTCGTGGATGCGCATGTGGCCGAATAGGCCCTTGCGGTGCCTGAAAGTGCGAGGGCAGTGTGGGCAGTTGAGACGAGCTTGGTGGGTATAGGTGGGTGCTCCAGGCAATGGTTCTCCAGTCTCTGTGCGATGGATTCGCAAGTGACCGACCAGGCCGATGCGAGAGGTGAAGGTACGGTCGCAGTGCGGGCAGGTGTAGTCCTGATCCTCATCCCTGGAGTCGGGGGAGGTTGTGGTAGTGTCGGTTGCTGTGCGCGGGACAGTCGCCTGAGCGGCCGCCGTTGGAGCAGTGGACGAGGAGGAGGAGGAGGAGGAGGAGAGTGATGGAAGTGGTAGATCAGAAGAATTGTCAGGGTAAGTTGGCGGCGGAGAGGAGAAGGAAGAGACAGGCGGGGGGACGATGTTTGGTGCCGTTCGAGAGGCGCAGTTCATCCGAAGATGTCCAACAAGTCCGATTCGAGCCCGGAATGTCCGTTGACATCGAGGACACGTAGGGAGAGGTTGTGCGGAGGCGTTGCGTTCTGGGCGAATTTGTGATTTGCAGGCTTCACGTTTCGCTTTGGCGGCAGCGATGCGGTTGGCTTCGTAGATCGCAGCGCCTGTCTTCACTGTTCTCCTCCAGGTCGGTCGATCGAGTGCGAGCTCCTCCCAGTTGGTGGGGTTGATTTGCAGGCATTTCAGGGAGGACTTCAGGGTATCCTTGTAACGGCGAATCTGGCCTCCTTGACGGCGAGAACCCGTCGCGACGTCTTCGTAGAAGAGTCGTTTGGGTAGTCGCTCGTCGTCCATGCGCACCAGGTGGCCGCTCCAGCGCAGCTGAATTTGCCTCAGTATGGCGTAGATGCTGAGGATTCCCGTCCGTTCCTGCACATCAGTGTCGGGGATTCAGTGTCGGGTACGTTGTGCACACACCACTGCCATCAGGAGGTTGGAGCGACGTTGCGGTCGGCGTTGGCTACGTAAGACAGAGCGCCTGTGTTAGAGTCTTCTGACAGCAAAGCACTGGATTGGCTAGCCGTATAACCACTGCCTCGGCTGTAGCTAGCACCCGTTGACGTAGACCTCTGGGGAAGCATGCTCGGCAGAAAGCCTGAAAGGCTTCATTGGCATCGACTCGGTGATTCGTATCGACGATATGTGCGAGAATAGAACTTGAGATCGATTTCTTTTCACCCCTGTCTAGCCAGGCCGGTATGTGTTCACGTATTCTCTTTTCCAGGCGCCTCTTTATACGGCCAATGTATCCCGCTCCACAGGAGCAAGTGAATGAGTAAATACACATCGATGTTGGCCCGATGAAGAGTTACCGAAAACATGTGTTTGCCAAATTGACTTTTCAATTGTTTTACTTTCTTAGTCTGAAGATAGACGCTTGCAAGAGTCCAAAAGCTTAGCCGAATTGCCGTTCCGAGGATTGCGCAGGATGCTCCACCAGGGATACCGTGACGTTCGATCTGAAATCTGGATCCTGTAGCTTGAAGTTCCACTTCAAACCTACTGAGCATTCAGCAAAGTGATTACCTTCCGAGGAATCTACATAAACCTTCAGTAGAGTTTATTTTGGGATGGGCTTAGTCTCTCGAAAGGGCTGTCATGAAAACGGTTAAAACCCCTAGGACTCGTGTGGCTTTCTATTCTAGAACGATATCTGCCATACCTCTTACGCCCAAATGGGCCGGACGATACTGTCAAATGATATGTAGTGGGCCTGAAATGTATCCGAAAAAACAGGTCGAGTCCAGGTTTCCACGGTTAGGGTGTGGGCTAACCAGCCATCATTGCGTCACATACGACGCCCAATGAAGGACGTAAGAACTGCAACTTATAATAGGCAGGTGGGTGCACGGCAACAGAGCACAACAAAAAACACTTGTTGTGCGCTGATAGTTCTTCTCTGCGAATGTCCCTAGGAATCGATGCGTTTGTGAATCCGAAACATCGGTCTAATGTAATCCTTGTCCCGGTAGTATCTTCTTCTTCTGTTCCTCCTTCCTCCTCCTCCTCCTCCTCCTCCTCCTTCTTCCTCTTTTTTAAGTTTGTTAAGTTCACACCGGGAAAATTAAGAAGTCATAAGGCCAGAAAGTGTTAGTTGGGCAGTTTTTCCCTCTTACAATCCTACATACAAACCGCACCATAAAAGCAACCTGCAGTCCGTCCTGTTGTGAACATAATTGAGCCCATAGGGTATATTAGAACGTCTGCGGATCGGAAAATGGACGAGAACCGAAGACAGCACTTCTGAAGATTGAGTAGAGTAAATCATGAACGCCTCAAAGTGCAAGCAGCTATTTCTGTGGAAAGTAGGAAAAAATGTATAACGGTCCCGAAGGCCAAAAACTACTCTTCTCTGAACATCGAAATAACATGGTAATAATTCTCCAAAATAAGACCGAAGGCATCGGTTTGAATGTAAATAATGTGGTTGTGCCCACGCAGGTTTAAGCGGTTGAAATCAACCTTGGGCATCTGATGTGGCGACGATCGATAACCTAGGTTTTACCCGAGAAATGTGAACGGCATCTACAGTAGATGTGCTAACTCATGAAATGTCAACCAAAATTTCAAAATGAGATGTCGTTTCTAAAAGATAAATTAAGTAGTGTTGTAAAACTAATCATGATGCAGCATAAATCTATAATGATCCAGTTACCTCAGGTTGTCGGCTTTCGAATGAACTTATTTTCAGCTGCATGCAAGATCTATACTCTGTAAAAAATGACTACTTAATTTGTGTGCAATTTTCTCATTGATTTTCGATGCCCTTAAAAATTCAATTATATTTCATGGAAAACATGCATACAAATATTCATTATTTTACTTATTCGGTAGAAAATCCCGTCGTCTTTCAAGTTCATCCTCAAAAGAAGAGAATAATTCGGTTTTAAAAAAATTTTCTCATTCCCGAATAATTTTGAACCCGACCTCCTGTCACACTTGCATGCAAGGTTTCAAAACTACAAGCTGTATATTTTCCGTGTACGGAAAACCATGCATTTCTCTACGGTGCTAAGAGGAGATTATATGAAATTCATAAAATTAAGCAGTGGATTTGAGCAATATTGTTAACTTTACAAGCCGCATTATTAAGTGCAGATACATGACGTTTCATTAAAGGCCATTTAACGGTATTAAAACATCTCGGAATTAGAAACTTTTTTAAAATCGAAGTATACTCTTCTTTTGACGTGATTTTCTGCCGAATAAGTAAAATGATGAATATTTTTGTGTATGTTTTCCATGAAATATAATTGAATTTTTAAGGGTATCGAACATCGATAAGAAAATTGCTTACTACTTAAGTAGTCATTTTTTGCAGAGTATAGATCTTGCATGCAGCCGAAAAGAGGTTCTTTCGAAAGCCGACACCCTGAGGTAACTGGGACATTATAGCTTTATGCTGTATCATGATTAGTTTTACAACACAACTTAATTTATCTTTTAGAAACGAGAACGCATTTCGAAATTTTGTTTGACATTTCATGAGTTAGCCTATCTACTGTAATTTACAGACGTCAAGTCTGAGAGATTCTGTCCTTAAGGTGCCCTGAATCAAGGCGGTTGCTCCTTGAATGTCGAAACATAGGCCTATGACCGTTTATGCAAGACGCTTTAAAATATAGAGCCCGCCAAACCCTCTGAAGCGCCAGCCCTTCTCATTTCTCCCAAAACGGAAATGCTCATTGCCTTAATGCGATCAGGATAATTTGCTATGCGTCACCCTCCTGCCACTAAATACTCCCATTTAGCTCTACATAACGTCGAAAATTAGTAAGCGATCGGTGCTCAGCTGACTCGGGATTCGAGTCTCGGCCATACATTCCAGCGCAGTGGCGCGGCTGGCGGATTGGGTATCGATCTTCAACCTCGTGCAAACATACCTATTTCGTTAGGGCCATGGAGTGGAACTGTTCGCATTGCCAAACCGAATAGGCAAAAGCGCGACTTGTAACCAGCCGTACGAAATCGGTTGTTACGTCTTCATTTAGGCGTCATTTTCCAGTACCTTGCACTCATCGGGCTGATCAGGAAGTTTTTGTGAGTCCTAGAGCATTATTCGGTCTCGTAATGGTTGTGGTAGTTCCGCCTGCTGTAGCCGCCGCCGTACAATGCTCTGATCAATTAGATAACAGTGCGACAATCAGGCACCTCTGGTCACTCTCCGACCGCCATTTGTCACCAGCCCCATACGCGCCAGGACTCAGTAAAAAGCGCAGTCCTGCAGTTCCGCGTATAGGAAAACTTTTTTTGTGTAATGGAGTGATGTGACCGCGGTAACGTACAGTAAGTGGGCTAACTCATGAAATTTCAGCAGAAATTCCGAAATGCGTTTCCGTTTCGAAAAGATTCATTAAGTTGGGTTGTTCAACCAATCGTCTTGCAACATAATTCTATAATATTTTAGTTACCTCAGGAGGCCGGCTTTTGAACAAACTTTTTTTCGGCGGCATACCTAAACCAAACTATACAAAAATGATTACTTAAATAGCATGAAATTTTTTGATTGATTTTCCATGTCCTTTAAGATCCAATTATATTTCATGGAAAATATGCACAAAAACATTCATTCTTTTGTTCATTCAGTAGCAAATTACGTCTTCCTTTAATTTTGCTTCCGAAGTAAGGGTACAGTTAGGCTATATAAAAATTTTCCAATTCCTGAATAATTTTGGACCCAACCTGCCGCTTCACTGGATTCAGGGTTAACAAACTAAAATCCGTATAATTTCCGCGTACTGAAAATAATGCATTTCTCTACGGTAATAAAGGGGGATCATATAGGGTTCAAATAATTAACTAAGAGATTTGAGCCGCATTGTTAATTTTACAAGCCACATTGGCAAATGCAAAGACATGATGTTCTATGAACGGCCATTTCGCGGTATTAAAAAATCTCACAATTAGAAACTTTTGAAACCGAATTGTACCCTTCCTTTGAGTGTAAAATTAAACTAGGACGTAATTTTCTACTGAAAGAAGAAAAGAATGGATGTTTTTGTGCATTTTTTCCATGAAATATAATTGAATCTTAAAGGGCATCGAAAATCAATCAAAGAGTGCATGCTAGTTAAGTAGTCATTTTTTACGGAGTATGGTTAAGGGATGCAGACGAAAAGAAATTTTTTCGAAAGCCGGCGTCCTGGGGTAACTGAATTATTATAGAATTATGCTGCAGGATGATTGGTTTTTCAACCCTACTTAATTAGTCCTTTCGAAAGGGAAACGCATTCCGGAATTTCTGTTGACGTTTCATGCGTTATTCCACCTACTGTACGCCACAGCTGCGAAATTTGAACGAGTGAACATTTAGGAAGAAATTAGTATTTACAGAGGGCGAAAAAGAGAACAAACTCCTATTCAATGAGTTAGGCACGAAAATATCGATCAGTAAAAAGAAAGGTTGGTCATTGGGAAACAAAGTGAAAGGAGTACACTGTGCATAGGATAAAGCCGAAATGAGGGCAGGTGTAGCAGTCGGGAGTGAAATAGAAAGTCCGCCTGAATTTCGTTTTGTTTCGCCAACTTTGTCTCAGACGTCTTCAGTGGGTCGTCGTTGCACTCCACAGTTTATCCTATCTGGTACACCGATCTTTGAAGACTGATTTCCGGCTATGCTGTTTCTCATTGTGTTTTCAGTCCCTCTCCCGCGATCGTGCACGCTGCGAAACCTTTCTTCTAGTTGGATCAGAAATCTAGATCACGAGCCGCGGATCACTTTTTGGCGCGCTTTCCGATGTGCTACGCTGGCGACCTGCCAATTTTGCTCTATCCTTTGTTCGGTCCGAAAGAGC